GGGCGATTAAAAACAAAAGTGAGACACAAACTAAGGAAGCATGAAAATGGATAGGTTCATCTGTTAAGTGGTAAATTAATTTCAACGTGTCCTGGCAACTGAAGCAAAGAAATAGGAAAGATCTTGAGCTCTCTCTAAGGGAAGGAAAGCAGCATATACATTTGTCTGGAGCAGGAAACTTAGCTGTCACTGAATTATCTAGTAATCCTTTCCATAATGAACTTAAGTGATTAACAGAGACATGTCATTCGGTTTTACTTCTGCAAATGATGTTGTGTATTTTCTTCAAATAGGTACAGCATACAGTATTTGCTCTTACAAGCCACGGGGCATACTAGGTAAATTAAGAGGTAGGTAAAGGCAAGTCCAGGCTCTTTCGCTTTCTGATAATTTAGCCTAACTTACAGATAAAACTTGAGCAAAGCAAGAAGTTGGCATCAATCCATTTCTCACATACTTTCTCACAAATGTTAGAGGTTTCCCAAGCTTTGGCAAGTGCCAAAACATGTAAAGCGAGACCCTATTTTCTGACAAGTGGCTAAAATTCTAATTTCTATGTTGTTGCTGTGTTGCTATGTGATTTAGTCACTCCATCAGTAAGCGGCAGAATGGACATTGTTTTGAACACTGAGGAGTGTAACTTACTCTTAGCACAGCCAGGCGCGCATCTGCGGGAGGCTGCTGGCAGTGTCCTGGCTTGAGGACGGGTCGGCAGTGGGGACACTGACCTACTCATTTTTAAAAAATGCCTTTTTGAGTTTTCTCAAATACTTGTACAGGAACCAGGCTACACCTGGGTTAATTAGTTAAATGCAAAACAAAACAAAGAACAAGAATTCTTTACCACAAAGGATGAAGGGGTGATTTAAAGACATTAAAAAGTTGTAGTTACTTCCTTGTCTTTCAGAGAGCAATCATACATACACACTCAATTTTCAAGCTGGTAACTCGACTGTCATTTCAAGATAGAGATTTAACCCAATGCCTTATGATACACGTTTGTCTTACTCTTACTTTACAAAAAGCGAAACTGTGTTCTTTAGGCTGAAGATCACTCACATTTAAACTTTCCTCATGATGTCCTTTTTAATTTAATCTTTGACAATTTTTGGAGTACTTAACTCTTTAGTTTTCTCCATCTATCAACTTGGTCTAATATGTGTAGAAAATATGACTATCTTAGTTATCACAAATTGGGTATGGTTAAAGAACATTTTGTAATTAAACAATACATCTGTATCATTTACAAGCCCATGGTAGGTACTTCATTTTGAGATTAATTGGAAATATTAGAAGAAAACATAAATTATTAAATTTTCAGGAAGTAAATTCTTCAAACTTTTTATATACATGAAGATTTTTGAACCCGAATTGTGCAATGGATGGAGATTTTGTTTAAAACACAACTATTTCTCAAGCCTTATATTAGAATTGGTCTGTTAGTACTGATAAATAAATGCTGTATGATTGAAATGTGGCATTCCCTACAAACCTCCTAAAGGAACTGAAAGACTTCTCTCTTGACATTTATTCACGAGAAATATATTGTTGGCTACTACGTTCTACTTATTGAAGCAATCATGACTGTTTTCCTGGTTTTGACTTTAGCCAACAAATATGAATCCTGGAGAAGACACATCCATATTCTGCCTTATTTTACACATCAAATGATCAACAAGTATTTAATAAGCATCACTTATGGGCAAAGTTCTGGTAGAAATAAAAAATGGGAAGTGAGAAATGGGAGTTCATAATTAGGTGGCAGATAGAATTAAGTGATCTTTAAGGTTACCTCTGATCTTAAGACTTAGTTATGACTCATGTATAACTAACTAAACACGCTGGCATTTTTGATCTATTTTGCCCACCTTCCCCACCACCCCCAAATACCACAATGTTTTGACAAGTATCAAGACATGAAGAAAAAGGCATTGTTTGACCGTGAGATCACAGCTGTGAAGTGTGAGGTGTGCAAAACTGAAGCACCCAGGGAAGGGACGCAGCAGAGGGCTGTCCTGCCGCGGATCGGCTCACACCCGGGGGGCAAAGCATGGCCGTAGGTGCAGGGGTCTGTCTCTCCAGCATTAAAACAGAGAAAACTTAAAAGGTGCTCTCTTTAGACAGTATCTTTAATTACTTATCTACACAAATGACCTTAATTCAAGCACAAGCAAAAGATAAATCGCAGTAACATCTACACGTAGTATGAAGGTTTTAAAAAATAATACAAAGTTGACTCACAGTGCACAAGTAAAAACAATGTTGTTTTAAGTATTTAAACATAGCCATGATTGTTCAAAAGGTAAGCATATTTATAAGCACATTTCCACACTGCTGAAGTACCTGAAACCACAGCTTGTACCAGCTTAGAGGACTGAGATAAAAAGCATTACGTTGATCCCCTTAATTAGAAAACTAAAATACCATATTTCTTTACACAGATAAATAAATCTAAAATAAATAAATATAAAATTATAAACTAATTAAGGAATTCATCTTTTAAACCTACATTCGGAGTCTTACCATCATGTGCAAAATTCCCAAATTATAAGGTTAGGAAACACCGCTCTGTGCTGTGTGCCCTACTCATTTTTCACTCTACTCGTTGGCATTTGGAGACCAAATTATTTATGGAAGGGAGTCTGTTGCAGTAAAGCCTGAAAAAAGGGAATGATATGAGGAGAGGATACTGTCAAGCTACTAAAACAGGGTGACTGCTTTTAACTCCGATGACTCAACCGTGAAATAGCAAGAACTTGCTTCCTATTATGCACTGTCTCCATAGTGTGATTTTAAAAATCGATACACTGGCTCAGTACATTTTAGATACAATTTATTTGCAGTTGTCCGATCTTCCATACAGAGCTTTGTTCACGCTATTCTTTGCAAATCCTGACATTAAAAACAAATAATTCCTGGTCTAGTTAAAATTTAACTTCTGCATATTGAATTTCTGAAGTGATTTGTTTAAATTTGAATCATTTGTCGTTTTTTTAACTATAGACACAACACAAGGATTTACTGTTGAGAATCTGAATTTTATTTTTTTCTTTTATTAACATCTGCTTTTAATAAGTACCTAGCTTTCAAAAAAAAAAGAAAAAAGGCATGCTTAGTATGAGATCAGCAAAAGAAGAAAAAAAAAAAATATATATATATATAATCCATGAGAGATGTCACGTTACTGAGGAGGTTGGGAAAACATCTGGACTCCTATATGGTATTTTTAATAATATTCGTTTTTATCATCTATTTATATATTTAAATCACCGATACTGATCTCAAAGAAATAAAGACACCCCACCCCCTTTTCTTAAATTCACACAAAGGGATGTAACAAAAGTACTTACATAATAGCCTTTTGCTTGGGAGAAATCAATGAAAACACAGTCGAGGGCATTTTTTTCCTCTCTAGAGCTCAGAGAAATAAACATGGTCCTACTTCCTTTCTGATTCAGAAATAGACTTGTAGTTGTAGAGTGGTTGTGTTTCACAACTACAAAAGAATTAATGATTGTGTGGTATCTGCTCCAGGGAGGGGTTTACCTACTGGCCAGCACTGGTTAGAGGGAGTCAGCCAGGGAGGTCATCTCCTAACCTGGGCACAGAACACTGGGGGCTCCCTTTCTGTCCCTTCATTATCCCTAAATCCAAAAGACACAGGAAGTGTTCTTGACTACTCATCCACCAAATAACAATGTCCACTGCTCGCAGCTGCTTAAAGCTAGATCTGTTTTTCTTATTAAATAGCATAAAACAAGTATTTACTGAACTCTCAATTTCTAAAATACTTTGTGAGAGCCTTCAAACTTGCATATTAAGTGTCAGATCTTCAGAGAGATCACAGTGAAGGATGTATTTGTTAAAGTAAAAAAAAAATATGCCAGGTGGCAAGGGAACTGTTATCAAAACATAATTCCCAGAAAACTGTAAAATTAAGTAAACTGTAAAATAAAAACTGTCACACAATGGGCATTTTTATTAGAATAATAAAGGCTTAATAAAATGACAGCAAAGAGCAGAGTTAAATAAGAAAAACATTTTAAGTCAAAAGTGGCATATTTGTTTTAAGTCCTTTAGCCAATACAAAAAATTATATGACATGAAAATGTTGTGAGGGTATTATTGTAATTGAACTGAAATAAATTAAACTATATTTTTCTTTAAACATTCAGTTAAGAGGGGGATGGTCAACATTATTCTGATTGTTGAAATAATTCCTATTTAAAATACAGGCCTATGAAAGAAAGCCTTTTCCTGATGCCTAGTTGAAATGTTTGACAATAGTCAAAATGTAATTAGTCAATTGATTATTCTTAATCTTCCCGATCCCGTGTCACAATCCAATAGCTCTGTCAACAGGTAAAAAACAACTGCTAACAAAAAGCCTAGCTTAACATCCAAAATGAATGAATTTCAAACAGATACAGAGTACAAAACCATCAACGGAATCAAATAGGTAAGCTGCTAGTGACTTAGCTTCTAAGGCAACTCTCTAAGCTGTCAACGAAGGGCTGAAATCTCTTTCACTGAATGTGTGTGCAATTGTTGTAATCCAAATTACCCTATTTGAGGGGTTCTTTTGTAACTAGCTTTCTTTCATGTGACGAATATAAACTGAATTATCATGGTCAAAGAGTTTCTGGATATAGGACATTACAGATACAGACAATTCAGCAGGTTACCATCATTTTATATACAGTTGATAGCTTTTAGAAAATTGCTATAAGTTTTATCTCAAAACACATAGCATTCTTTTTCTGAAAAAGAAACTGGCATGGAGTAACATTGGCTAATGAATTAGTTGAATTAGTATCACCACAAGTGAGACAACAAGCAGGAGAGCAAGTTTCTTCTCTTTAGGATTGAACCTAATGGTCAGACCACTTACATGACCCCAGTTGGTCACCTCAGTACAATAAACTAGGACGTTAACACCATTTCCCTGCTCTTCTTTTCAAAAGGCAGCTGGTCGGTAAAGTGCCTCTAACACACACAAATTATTTTCATCCCATGACTTTATTTTATGGTTAGAAAGGTGTGATAGCAGAAGGGAAAAAGGCAGGACAAACAACTTTGCAGTTTTCTTTCTTCAGATATATATGCAGAGGTGATGATACTGAGTAGGATTCTGTGAAAATAAACACATTTGATAAATTTAGGTCTGGGGAGACATTACTGCATGATCATTAAAATGCTGAAGCTTAACTGTCTAGGTTTGCAATTTGCTAGTTCTGTTAAATTTAACATATCACCTACCACAATATAATTTCATCAAAATGACATATGAATTAAAAAAAATAATAAAATTCATTTCTTAGGGAAAAAAGTAAAAATATAGTATATTAAAATTGATCTGTAGACAGAATCTGCATATGACTGTGTTGGGTATAAACATTTTCAGCAAGTATCAGAATTAGTTACTTAAAATTATCAGGTGAAGGAACTCCACATATGTTAAAATGACCATTGAGAAACTATTCCTTAAGGTGCTTGGTAACTTTTATAAAATGATCAGAATGAAGCAAGGCTACCATTCTGCCAGATTTATTCTTTAAAATGGGTTTGCAAGGCACATTAAAATAGATCATATGTCTAATTCATAAATATCTGTAACAGTTCACAGAGGCAAAAGGCCCTTGGGACAAGGGGGGCCGTGGGGGCTCCAGATGAGCAGGGAACACAGACAGCTGGGTGGTTTCCGTGCCCACCAACATCGCCGCTGCCCGGCTGTCTGGCTGCCCTGGTGTGCGCCCTGGGCAGGCCCTCCGGCAGGAAGCCACTTGTTCCAGCGGCAAAGGTAACTCTGGATGTCACGCTTACCATCTTAGGGAAGTGACACTAACTATCATGTAAAGCACTGGCTGGCTCTGGGCTTCCTCATTTCATTAAAAAAACAGAAATGTAGCTGATATTTTTAATGGGGTGTCTGTAACATTCAGGATCCCTCTCCCCACAAAAAATCATTCATAAACAAAAAATCAAATGAACTTTTGTGCTGAAGAAAATCTCCAGATCAAGAAGGCTGTCCAAATGTTTATCTCTAACATTAACTATTGATAATATTGATGATGAAGGTGATATCATAACACTTTGTGATTTAAAAAAAAATTTCATACACAAGGCTGTATAAAACTTTTACAAACATAGACACTTAAAAACACTGAATCATTTTTGGCGTGTGTTAAAGATGATTGATATTTAGTTTCTAGATACGTTTTTGTAAAATTCTGTACACCTGTCTTAACTTATAAAAACAGCAAACAAAACAAAGTTACAAAAAAACAACAAACAAAACAAAGTCACAAAGCAGTACTCTAAAGCTTTTTAGCTCCTTCCTCTCTCAATCATTGCTGGTGTATGATGGACAGAGCCTTGCTTTCTTTTCCAGTCTGCTTTCTGAAATACATTGCCCCTACAGTAGAGGAAGGGAGGTAGTTTGAGGTTTAAGGTCCTTCTGAGTGCAGCTAGGGAGAGAAATCTTTTACATTTTTCTGCGCCTTCCAGTTCTGAGTATTACAGGCTGCCTATAGGATAAGGCTCACACATAAGGTGACTGTTAAATATTTTAAATAAACAATAATGTCATAATCATAGCATTTTCCCTATCTCAACTTCTTCAGTAACAACAAAAAATACCAATCATAATTCTTCAGTGATAATACTTGACTATGCTACTAAGAAAAGTCTTTTAATATACGATACTTTATTGGGAACATGCTTATAGTGCCAGACTATAAAATTAGATAAAGGAGTCCACACTCCAGAAGAGTAGTAAATTCTAAGGCCAACTGAATTACTTTAAGTAGGAAAAAGGTTTATTTAATGTTTTAAGCATAAGAGAATAAGATTAAGATTAAATTATCATTAAGGAGCAAGTAGGATATGGTCAAGTAGAATGATAAATTTTTAACATATAAATTTTGCATTTAGTCAGTGCCAATGTAGAAAGAGGACTTTTACTCACTTGTTACAATTTATTTCTCCTGATGAAGAGCTTCAATAAAAGCATCAAGTTTTTCTTGAATTTCTCTAACTTTCTCTGTGGAGATAAAAAGAGATAATATATTAAAGACATTCATTTTTCAGGAGCATTACAAGTCACAGAAGATAATTATTCAATAAATGGTCTGGGATACTTTCAACTGTTTGTGAAAAGGGAAAAAAAATGGCCTTGGCACCACACACCACCTTATACCCAAATAGAGGTCAAATGGGTTGCAGCAGCAGCTGCTAACATTTTTTTTTGGAAAGGGGAGGAGGGTGGGATTCATGATAGACCCCTTTGAGAGTCTAATAAAAGCTATGGACTCTTACACCAAAAAATGTGCATATATACAATTATGTATAGAATTGTAAGGAATTTCAGATTCTCCGGAGTCCAACCAAGGACTAACAGTTAGCAGTATCTGAAACAAAAGAAAATATAAAATAGTGAAACTATTTTATAAAATAAAAAGAGAATTCAGGTGTTTAACTGGCCTAGACTGGGAAATGACTTTCTGGGTATAAAGTAATGGGAAGAGTTACAAAGGGAAAGATAAACTAACATGACCACATCAAGATCTATAACTTAAATAGTAAGAAATATTTACAACAAACATGAAAAGGGCAATAACACTTTAAAATACATATAAAAATGTGCTTTTCTACCTGTGAATGAAGAAAGAAACACCAGAGCTGCTACACAGATTTACATTATTTTTATTTGATTTTAGGTTTTCATGTTTCTAGACTTCCAAAGTAAAATGTATAATTTCTCTATGAAGTGTAAAGGTTTCCTTTACAAATGTAAACTATCCACAGTACATGTCAATCTCCTAGTATTACAAATGGAAAAATTGTGAATTAATCCACCTTATTGCTAAATTAATCATGTAACTCGTTTTAAAATGTAGGTTATAGTGAGCACAGTAACAAATATTTTTTCCTTTTAACACAGTTTACCCTGTTAGTGGGAATTAACAAAGTGAAATGACTGGTTCAAAGCTCGTGCTGTAAAGGAAAAATGCAAAGCATTTTACTTTATAGCTATAGAAAAATCATAAGATATATTAATATTCAATTTTACATCTTTTGCATTTAAATATAATCTACAAATAAAAGTATTTATCCATGAGACAGCACTTGTGACGAGCAGCCAATAAAAATAACTCCTTTTTATGGCTTTTTATTAGCATTACAGGAACTCAAAAAAGCCTACCATCATTACATATAAAGAACACAATGTCTTTATATTGTTTTTCCAGTAATCTAACAGTTCTAATTCTTAGTATGTTGAAACTAACACAAAATCTACAGAAAAAAACTATTGTTTTAATCAGGTCATTCAATAGGGAAATATGGAAAATAGTTTTCACAAAGGCAGCGTTAACTTCCTTATATAAAGGTTAAACCAGACAAATTAAAAAAAAAATCTGAACCTATCTCTTGGAAGTTTAGTCTATATTTTTTTGTTAGTCTGTAGTATTTTTTTAACCAGCAGTCAAACCAGTAAACATACTTCCTTTCTCAAAATAATGCCACATTCTTATTTTTAAAATTAATTCATCTAGTTGCTTAGAAACAGCTTCACTGATTTTCCTCAATGAATATTAGAGAGTTTCACATAGTACAGTTCATCAGTTGATGGATTTTTAAAAGGAGGGGATGGTAGAAGAAAAAAAGTTTTCTAAAATCTCTCCCAAAATTCTGGAAATGCATGGGGGCTTTAAAAAAATCATCTAGCTTAAACGGCACAACACATGGAAATCTACAACAGGTGTTTAGAACCTCAGCAGCTCCTCTAAATACTCACTGAGAACTATTTCTACTTGGGAAAGCTGTACTGTAGGAAGACAGGAAATATGACTCTATTTGCTCCATGATCTGAATAAAATCAGGCAGCTGCAGGATCAGCTCTATGCATCCCTTTGCCCTGTCAGTAACCTTCATCCTCAGGGGACGGACAGTCTGTGAGCAGGTGGTACAGTAGCATCACTCACAAGAGACTTTTCAGAGCAAGACTTATTGGTATTGCAAGAGACCAAGAGCCACTTTGAATGCAGGTGTCTGAATCAAATTCACATTATTCCGAAGTTAGAGATAAGCCACGTTGTTTTGTAAATGAAAGTAAAAGGAGTATTTAATTAACTATTTTATGAATAACAGAGAATAAAAAATTTCCCAATTTCGCATAAAAAGCTGTTTTTACAAAATATTTTACCACTGGGATATCAGGACATGTAACCGCACCCTGAAACCTCAAGAATGACATAGACAGGTAAGGCTCTACAAAGTAATGTGGGGAGAGAGGAGGAGAGAAGAAGATAGAGATTATATATATATGCTATATATACATAAAAAATAATTGTGATTAATGTGTCCTTTTAACACTACAAAAGATTTCATTTCTTCGGTCATTCCTTCACTTACAATATACTTAATGAGTGACATGGGGACAAGAAGAATCCCTTGCTTACTCCCTTCCTTATTCTAAGTCTGTGAAGAGCCTACTACGTTTCAGAGACAGCAAACCCCGCATTTCATATGGCCCTCATACAGCCGTGCGGGTACCAGTGCCAAGGATGAGGCCTTTACGTGTGGAGAGGCAGCCTTGTCCTTGTTCCTCTGATCCAGAACGCACACTAGATCTGCTGCTACATGCCCACTCTAAGTGGTAACAAAACAAATGCTATTATGTTTAGTGTATTTGTTGTATGTTTTACCTGTTATGTGAAATAAGACATGTTTCGGTAAAAGTTATGGAATCGAAAGCTACCAAGCACCTCCTATGCTCTTCTCTGGCTAGGGATGACTAAAAAATATAAACACGTTATCATCCTCGGATGAATATTATTACCTCTTGAACAGACTTGATCTATACACATTTGGGGAAATCCTGAGAACAATAGGAGTATGAAACCGGACCAAAAAAAAAAATTCATCATTTTTTAGTGTCTACAACGGCTGACTCAGTATACATGCTCAATAAAAACTTGATAAATACCTGAAGTCCCCAAAAATACAGCAGAGAAAATAAGAGCTGTAGGTTATCAAGAAACATTATCAAGAAATCTGACAGGCTTTCTGGATGTTATACCAGTGACCAAGAGGGCAGAAGCCACGACCACAAGCACTGGGGCAAGCCTGGGAACAGGGGCACGGCGCATGGGGACAGTGAAGGGTGGGCAAGCTGGTGGGCCGCCGGAGCGGCACACTCCTCAGGTCTCGAAACACAATACCAGTGGAAAAAAATATTTCAAATTAATTATTGCGCCTTATGAAGAAGGCTAAAATATGCTGTCTACACACACAACTTTAGAAAGGAAACTGATTTTTAGGCTTTATAAGGAAACTATATTACAAATAATAAATGACATTCTTTCCTATATTTGAATTTATTCATTTTAAATTCTGATGTAAGTGTTCAGCACTGTCTTGGATACTAGCTATGGATACTGGCTGTACAGAAAACTGAATTATCCATAAAAATCAAGGCTGAATATTAGCAACTAAAGCTTTCTACTTTCTGGACCTTCAAAATTAATGTCCTAGTTATAAGTGCTTCCGAATCCCCAAATCTTATTGTATTTAACTGCTACACCATTAGAAATTATTCCCACAGAAATTTCCCACAGAAATATGTGTACAGATTACCAAGACTAATTATAAAGCAAACGCCCTTTTCTGTTAAACATTTGCATTAAATATTTATAGCTAGAGAATTCTTGTAAAATTTGTGATTTACTTGATAAATTAAACCAACTCAGGAAGGGATTAACATACTCCTATTTCTGTTACACTGAAATAGCCAATTCTACATGTACTGAATACTAAGTCTACTTTCCATTTATCAAATGTTTACTTAAAAGATGAACTATTTCAAACATCAACTCATTGTGCTCCTTGATTGAGTCATGAATATTCCCATAATCCCCAAGTCATAAACTGTCAGTCTCAGTGAAGTTCCTTCTTTTTTTCTTTTCTTCAGATGACTTGACACCTATTCATGTTTTGGGTCTTTTTATCGCCACATGAAATGATACTGCTACTCTCAGATTCCTTTTGAGTCTTCTGATACTTGCTCTAGAAGTCTCAAATATAGACTAATCTGTAATTAGGTTTTGAATACACTGTGAATACCAAAAGGCCAAATCCAAGAGAAGGTTCACTTTGGTCGTTAATAACAGTTTAGAACAGGAACAAAGAATCACACACAAAACTCTACCACATGCACTGAAATAAACCCTTTCCAACTTCTGATGTTTTTAAAGAAAGCATAATGAAACAAGCTGCAAATTTACTGATGCAATGTACTTTAAGTAAATCACACATCCAAATATCCTAACGTGCCTTAACGTGCTACATGCACACTTTGTACCAAACTGAGGATACCTTGTAGGTGAAAAAGCTGCTCATTAAAGCACTGAAAATTAAAGGACCACTTCTTCTTATGTAATACATGTTGTTCCTGAAAAGACTTGCTTTTATAAATTAGACAACTATACTATGAATGCTCTTTTAAAAGTTCAGTACAACCAAAAAAAAAAAAAAAAAAAAAAAAAGTGAGTAAGAGATCAGGTTGATGGTTCCCAAAACTACACTCAAAATCTTCAATTTAGCGCAAGAAAAAATGTGCACCTTTCACAGTTAATCAAAGGAAGAACCAAAGAGAGTTAGTCAAAGGTGTATAACTAGATCCAATACTTATCTTCTGAATCTTGACCCGGTAGTTTTTTCCTTACAAATACCCATGATTATTTTTAAACAAACTCATTAATGAAGACAAACAGATTACTGCCTTTTACAGAAGGAGGAGGCATCATTTTCTATGTCCTGGAAAGGTACTACTGCCTTTTACAGAAGGAGGAGGCATCATTTTCTATGTCCTGGAAAGGTACTGCCTTTTACAGAAGAAGGAGGCATCATTTTCTATGTCCTGGCAAGGTATTTGAGACGTATGGTAATTGCAAAGCTGGGTGGGGTTCCAGACTTCTAGGGGGTCTGTAAAAGTTCTCTGGGTTATTTCCATTGTTTCAAAAGTTCCACTATAAATCTTTG